TGCTGAACGTTACTTGGAGTTACCAGTCTCTCTTGGAGATGCTTCTGCCATTAGTAATACCTCCAAAGACCCAGAAACGGGTTACTATGTTATTTTTCAAAAGACCAGATAATCTCAGTCCAATGCTGATTTTCCCCCCAAAATAATCCACTAAGAATAGCAACTTTTATTGTCTGACATTTTGCCCCACTCCAGAATGATACAACTTTGTAAGTTAAACTTACTTGAAGATAGGTACTCCTTTTGAGACTTTAATAACCTTTAGTCATCTGTAGTATATTTGGCATATATATCAAATTCTGGACCACGCTAGGAGATTGGAAGAACTAATACCCTACCTTTTACTAGCAGAATATTTTCCATGTGTGTGTGTGTTCTAGACATAAGCTAATTAGCTTGGAAAAAGCAATGTAAGGTGGGGTGAGGAGGAGTTCTTATAGTCTTGGGACCCTGTTCACTCTCCAGGCAAAATGAGAGAATCAAGGTCAAAATTTGCAATCCATTAGGGTGGATGGGGAGAGGGAAACACTTCATAATAAAAATATTTGAGGAAGTGCTACTTGGAATGAGTAAAATTGTGATCAGAGGAAAAAAGAAATGAGAAAGGCTCCACCTTAGGAACCCTCTTCCCTTCCCAGCAATGACCAGATGGCTCAGGTGTAGAGAAAAGTGGTGTCCTGCAAAGGTTTACAGAGGAGAGGTGTCCTGGAAAGGTTCTATGGAGCGAGTAATTATTGCTACTGAACCTCTACCTCTCTGTGATGTCTCTTCAATTCAACTGGGGGCCTTCAGACCATCTGGAAAGGGCAAGCATTTATATATATAAAGCGCAGTTACTTGGGCGCTCCCACTTCAACACACACACACACTCGCCCACAGGTACTTTTTAATATTATTAATTCAGCCAATTCCTTTATACTCCCAGCACAACTTAAAATACTCTGCCCCTTGGCTAATACCTTTACGCGAATCCTTATAGGAGGCTCCCTTCTAGTCAAATGTACCAAATGACCAAACCAAAGAAAGGAATTGCAGGCGCCCCTTAAGTGATCTGCCTGTTCTCTCTTTACCCACAGGGTCGCCTGCCTGGGACGGTCCGGCCAGAGAGGAACCCAGCGGGAAAGGCCAGGGCGGGCCCGGATGCTTCCTGGGCTCAGAGCCCGCGCTCTCCTGCACGCGCCTCGCCTTGGTTCGGGCTCCAGGCTCCGGTCTCCCCGGTCAGTCCCCTGCCGGGGCCAGGTTTCTCTCCTTTTTGCCTGGGGACCGGCTTTCTCCCGGACGGACCTGGCCAGAGCAGGTCCAAGGATGCGGTCGGTCTCCTGTCCCCGGAGTGGCACTGCTCGGTGTGGAACAGCTCGTCGCCACCCGAGACCCGCACGCGCGCTCCCTGCCCTGCCCTGCCCTACCCTGCCCTGCCCACCTGAGGCTCCACATGTAGCTGTGCTTGTAGGGGAAGTAGCTGCCCGGCTCGCTGCAGCAGTACTTGAGGTCGGCGAAGCCACAGCAGTAGAGGAGCGCGGCGCCCTCGCCGCGGCGGGGGCACTGGAAGGGCTCCACGAAGCTGTGGTTGAGGCTGTAGTAGCCGGAGCACAGCCGGCTGGCCTCGCTCATTGCGGGCGGCTGTCTTGGGGAGCACGCGAGGCTCCTATCTGCCCTCGGACCACGCGGGTCCCGCAGCCTCGGCGCTCGCCTGGAGGACCTGGGTCCGGCTGCCTGGGCGCTCAGCCTCGGCGCGCCCCCTCTGCTCCCTCTCCCCCCGGTCCTCCGGGTGTCCGGGCGCTCCTCTCGCCTCTCGCTCTCTCGCTCTCGCTACTGAATGGTCCTGTCATCTGCCGGTCTTGGCCCTCCACCTCTTCTCCCGCTCGCGTCCTCTGCTATCTTCGCGCTCTGCGGACTCGCCTCTACTCCCCTCTACCTTCCCGCTCTCCATCAACTGCCTGGAGACCTCTGCGCCTTCACTCCTTGCCAGGAGAGATTTTGCCCGAGGGAAAAGTGGAGGTCTCGGGCTCGTTGGCAATCCGGACAAATACAGCCCGAGTCACAGTTCTGTCTGGTCAGGGACGGGGCAGGTGGGTTCCCAGGAAACAGAAAATGGCTAGCGGAGCCTTCACCAGCCAGAAGCCTTTGACCAGGAGTAAGGAGCTGAATGAACAGGCAGCTGAACTACTAGTGAGGAGGTGTTGGTGTTTTCTTCTCTTTGGGAAGTGTGCATGAACATTAACATCGGCCAGTTTTAAAATCAAAACCACATTTTCTCCAAACACTAACCACAGGTGTTTTTAAAACATGCTACAGTTGCACTCTGTGTGCAGCTGAAGAAACTAGAAAAGGAAGGAGAGGCAGGAGGTGGAGGTAAAGTAAGAACTTTCTAGAGAGGGAGCAAAAGGGATCTTCAGGCAATTTGGAAGTGCTACAGAAATCTCTGTCCCCTTTCTGTTTGGTATTCTCTTTTTCTCCAGATCGGTTTGTTTACAATATGTTTTTAAATAATAAGAGTAATGCGTGCTCGTTGTAATAAGCTAGACAATATGTACATGCTCTCTGGTAATATAGAAAGGAAATAAACTCCATTTCTCTTGCACTGTGACTCAGCAATCAACATTGCAGACTCCTGTGACCTCTGGTCACCAAGAAGGCTGTGGGCATTTCTCCCCACCAGCAAGCAAGCAGTCAGTTCAGCAGCAGACACCAGATGGGTGTCTAATTCGATTCAGTCTCTACTCTTCCTGAGGATTACAGAGATCTCACAGGTTCAGGGGCTCTGTCCCACACTATTGCACACCCCTATTTTTGATGTCCTTAGTAAGCTCTGTGTTTCTGACTGACTCGCTATAAAATTGGGGTTCTCACAACCTCCTCCCCTTCTCAAGTGTGATCAGTTTGCTACAGTGGCTCCCAGGAATCAGGAAAACACATTTCCTAGTTTATTATAAAGGATGTTACAAATGGAGCAGATGAAGAGCTGCATGAGTCCAAACATGTGGGAATGGGTGTGGAGCCTCTACGCCCTTTCCAGGTGCACAGCCCTCCAGGAACTTACCTGTAAGCTCTCCAAACCCAGTGCTTTAAAGTTTTTATTCTGGTTTCACTACATGGGCACAATAGATTAAATCACAAGCCACTCGTGGGCAGCTTAACCTTCATCCCTTCCTCTCTCCCTGAAGTTTAGGGGTGGGACTGAGCATCCTACCTCTCTAATCTTGCCAGTGGTCTCTGGTGACCAGCCTCCCATTCTGAAACTACCTAAGGCCTGCCAGCTTTCAGTCAACTCATTAGCATACAAAAAGCATCACTTAGAGATTCTAAGGATTTTAGAAGTTGTATGCCAGGAAACAGGGACAAAGACCAAATATATATTTCACAATAGCACAAATGTGGAAAGAAGATGGACGAGAGGGAGACTGTAACATCCATGTTATTTTTCAAGGCAGATAGGGCATTGTTCCTTCCTAAGTTTCCTACTTCCTTCCCTTGGGAAGGGGCTTGGCTGGGTGCCAGTCATCATGACTCTTATGTTGTTGCATGCTGAATATTTGTGTATTTCTATAAATACTCTTTTTTTTTAAAGAGAGATTTTTGCTAGAGGGTGCATAAGCTTGCCAAAGACACAGAGACAAAGTGACAGAAAGTGAGAACTCAGCCTGCAGGAGAACTGTCCACACCACAATCCCGTCTCCTCTATTCTCCTCTTGGGGTTTTGGGCACGCAAGCACACATGCCCAGCATGAGTTTTAAGCTGCCAAGTCCAGGACTTGAACTGTGGTCAACTATGTGGGAGTCCAGTGACATAACCATTACACCATCCACTGGTCCCCCTACATATATTCTTGTTGTTCTTGGATGCAGTTAAGCTACTTGGAAATGTTGTTATTTGCTTATTTGTTTACAGGTTTATTTTAAGCTTTGTTAGGTAAGACAAATTTAGGACTAAAATTCTCCCCACTACTGAGGCAATATCCTTCTGTGTACTCTACTCAAAACCTTATAAATTACTAAGCTTACCATTCTGACTGATGAGAACACTAATTATCCTGGGCCTTGTGAGAGCGCTGAGGATCATACACTCTGCTCCTCGCAGATGGTTCCCCTCTTATCCTAGAGTAGTGTCCTCCCAGCATGCACCAACCAGTACTCAGCTGCAGACTCTGGTCATCATCAGTGTAATCTTTCTCCAGCTCTCTCCTCTGGAACTCTGCCCTACTCTTTTCAGCACCATAGTTTCTCTGGACTTCCAACTCTGCCTTCTCAATTGGAGAGACCACTGGGTCCACCTGGGTCTCTCCGCTCTGCTTCTGTCCATCCTAAACTGCAGCCTGGAAACTCTCCAGTCAGTGAATTGGGATCATCATAAAGCTCATCTTACCTGTTTCCCTCTCTAAGTGGTCATTGTTCTAGGCTACCTGATATCCATGTGCAAAACCCATTATTTCAAATATCTTGTTTGTTTAGTTGTTCCAGGCAGGAGGGTAAATCTAGTCCCTGTTATGCCATGGTCTTGGCCAAGAGTGGGACCTGAGCCAAACTAGGACAGTTGGGCTCTGTCTGCTGGAACTGGAATTTCACCCTGTGAACAGGAAGACACAAGAAGGTAATGCAGAGGAAAGAGGAATATGTAACAGAGAGGAGCAAAAAGAAGGGAAGAAAGATGCTGATAGTGTTGCAATTCTTGTTCAAGTCCTTTCCTGAGGCTCATGGCAGTCTTATCCTTCAATTTCTTGAGATACCTTTGTTTCCTTATAGCAGTATACCCCTTTCAAGTTGAAGTGCATTCAAGTTGAACTCTCCTACTTGAACCAGAGGATTCTAATACAAGCAGAATATCTGCAGTCAAAGATGAGTAGAGAATGTGGTTGAAAGGGGAAAACTGAAGCTTTAATCGATGGAGCCAGTTCCCTTGGAAAGGGGAAAAGTTGGCAACACAAGTGAATTTCTCTTGTTGTAAAGAAGGAAAAGAAATGTGGAGATAAAAAGGGGGGTAGTTGTTTTGGACAATATTGGTTGTCTCTCTCTGGCCAAGGCACACACCCTCTGGCAATTCCGTGTCTTGTGAGAACTCTGAGGATGCTTTCCTCTGCTCCTTGCAGATAGCTCCTTTCCTAGCCTCAGGTAGTTGCCAGAGGGTATGTGTGCTTGCCAGAGAAGGACTGAGACAGAAAGAGATGGAGAGAGGGAGAAAGACCTCTTCAACTAGGCATGGTCAGACCACAATCCCTCCTCCTCCATTTCTCCATTCTGACAGAATTTGGAACATACATGCGTTTGTGCTTGTCATGTTTTTTCAAGCCACTAGAGCTGGAATTCATACTGTGGCTGGCCACGTGGAAGCCAGGGTCCCTTGACCACTAGGCTGTGAGGCTGGTCCCATTGTCTCAATAAAATATACTAAAGTCTGTGTAACATGAGATGATGAGGTAAAATTTGGGTGTTTGACAAGAATGAAAAAGATTGGGTATGAACCTTGAAGAATATGCCTGAGTGGCAGGCAGAGTGGAACAAGAGGACTGAGTATATCATTGAAGACTCAGTTTTAGTTATAAATCACAGCTTTCTGGTGGAAACTCTCCAACAAGGAATATTCGGCAGTCCAGGAATAGGAGCAGGGGAACGAAGGGTAAGATTTGTCAAGATGATACTCTTAGGCTGTCATAGCAGTCACAATAGAACCTTGGCTCTCTCCAAATGCACACAAAAACATTTCCACAGCTACCAGATGCTACCAAGCTGGAGAATTTGGAGGTCTCTGAAGTCCAAAGCAACAAAGGAGCTTATTAACAAACGATGCCCAAGGACAGTCTTAAGGCTGTGACTCACTCATTCAGAACGTGCCTGTCACTTGCTTGACCTTTCCTGGTTTGTGGTCCCATGTGACTGAGTCCCCAACTCTCTGCCTCTGGACATGAGAAATTCTGACAAGGAGTCTAGTAGAGCTGGTCCAATACCAAAAGATAGCCATACTTCATACCTTTCACTCATTCAGAAAGTGTTATTGATATTGTCTCCTCTTCTTGTATCTCAGTGATTTGCAACAAAGCTGGTACTCCCTGTTAGGAAACATTTTGGAATAAGAAGACATTGGTGGTTGCCATGATAGGATATCCTACTGGTGTTGAGCGATGTGAGTCAGGGAAACCAGACCTGATATCTTGCACCATGTACAGGAAAATGAAGAACTGTCTGTGACTTTCAAATGTTCTACAAGACACTTGTGTAGATGAAAACCTATTTATAATTACCTATACCCAGAGCCTATCTCTATGTTACTGATAAATACAACGTAGTTCTTTAATTTTCCAGGAATGCAACTACTGTGGAAATTGAGGGAAGATTGTTCTTTGTTTTGTTTGGAATTTTACCAAGAGTTGTTCACGCTTTCAGAAAATCATGTGCCAATGATAATGTTGCTCGAAGATTTGTATTTGGGTTGCCAGCACAGCACATTGTCAGTTCAGCCTGCCTTTGTACTGTCTTTCTGTAGCGATTCATAGGTGTTGCATGCATAGTAGTGATGTCCTTTGGTATGGTTCTGTTTGAACATTTACATACAAAAATATACATTTTATTATAAATTTTATTCCATTTATTTCTCCTTTACATTACAATAAGGGCATTATATATAATTAGTGTATCAATTTTGGCAGTTAGGGTCATTGTAATAAAGTAACCAGCAACCACATGATTTAAACAATAGAAATAAATTTTCTCACAGTTTTGGAGGCCAGAAATCTGAGCTCAAGATGTCAGCAGTGGGTGTGGAGGTTAAGGCAGCTGGATCCCACATGGGCACTGCACTGTTCCAGTCCCAGGCCATGCAACTTGAAAAGCATACCAGGCGGGTGTGCCCGTGTGCCCCAAATCCTGAGTGGAGAATGGGAGAGAAGGGATTGTGGCTTGGCTATCCTCTCTGGGTGGTGACTACTCTGTCTCTTTCTAGTGAGTGCATATACCCTGTCAGCATGATTAATCCAGAGTTGTGAGTGGAGGATGTGTTCTAGATCTGTCTGTTGGGGTAGTAGATGGCCATCTTCTCCC